GTTTAGTCCAAATCTGCATCCTTTCCTTCAAGGCTCAGGGGTCCAAGATTATCTTCTGTGTCTGTATTTATTGGTTTCCCTTTTCTTTGTTGAAGAGGGTCTGTGCAATCCTTCTGCCTAGTCCGCCATCTTGCCCCGCCTCCTTGATTTTTTTCTTTAAGGGATGATGACCACAAAGGGGAGAAAAATTGGATTAATTAAGTCTTTACCCTCTTTAAGGAGCTCTGGTGGCATAGTGCCAAAGGCATTTGATTGCTATCCTGAACATTGGCGGTTCAAACCCACCAGACACTCTGAGAAAGAAGACTGGGCAATCTACTTCGGTAAAGATTTACTGCCTCAGAAACCCAGTGAGGGTTGCTGTGATTTGGATTAGACTCTATGGCAGTGAGTTGGGTTTTTTTTCTGTTTACCCTCCTTACTGCACTCTACTCTCAGGTGCTTTTTACTACTTCTTTCTATATCTGCTTCATTTTTATGTCTTATTGCTGAGCTTGTTCACCTGTGAATTATCACTACCACTAAGCTCAGCCAGGAAACACCTGATAACAGGTTGTTTCTGATGTGTGAATGTACCTCGGCTATTTTGGGAGACGCTAGAACATCACGTTGTTATTTGTTGTTAATGTGTCATTGAGTCGGATAGCGACCCCTCCTTGGGTTTCCGAGGCAGTATCACTATGAAGTAGATTGCCCGTCTTCCTTCCGAGGAGTGGTTGGTGGGTTTGAACCGCCAGCCTTCTGGTTAGCAGTATGTGCCTTAGGCACTATGCTACCAGAGCATCACGTTAGGAACCTACAAACTATATAGATCTCAGTTCTTTGGGACAGCTGCAGAAGTACTAAACCAGAAAGCAGATTTTTAAAATCAATGTTAAGTTTCATCACTTTGAAAATTCTCCTGCACTTTAATCACTTCCTGTTAATGAACTTCTCAAGACTCAAGTATAGGATCTCATTCTTGTAACCCCACCACTTAAAACAGTATCTGTCATATATATAAGTGCTCAGTAGTTTTTGTTGTCCAACAGACTATGTGAAGATGAAAAGATTATCTGTCATTATTCTTTCATTTTTAGGTATGTTCTTAGTGTTATATAAATTTGTACATTTGGAATTACATATTTTAAATTCTGAAATATTTATTTTGTAACATTTCCTCTTAGACCATAGAGATGATTGAGAAAGAGCAGAGAGAAGTTGAAAGACGACCGATCACAAAAATAACTCATAAAGGTGAAATAGAAATTGAGAGTGATGCCCCAATTAAAGAGCAGGAAGCTGCTATGGAGATTCAGGTAAAGATAAAAACAGGATGTTTTGTAGTACTCTAAACATAAAGATTCAGACAGGATTTTATTTGCTTATTCTTAAAATAGAAGAATTTTAAAAAATGTATACATTTGAAAGTAGCCTGTTTTAATAGTCTAGTAGTTTTGTGATGTTTAGATTATTGTTTCTCTGTGTGCAGATTGTACATAGACAGTATACAGGCTGTCTGCATCACAGACATCTGCTAAACACTTATTAAATGTGGATTCCTGGGGTCTGTCGTTAACTTCATGAATTTCTTAGTAGGCTTAGAAATCTGTAGGTGCTTTTTAGGCAGATTATAGTTTGCAAACTGGTGTAGTGTTCATTATTTTCAAATATCAGTGAAAAAATAATTTGAAATCTTGTTAGAAGCTTTGGGGTATGAAGAATGTTTTGAGATTTTACTCTTTCAAGACATAATTAAATCTACCAAATTTTTTTTTTTTAAGAAACAGGAAAAACAACCTATGAACTGATGAGTTTCATTTGGGGAAAAATTCTAGCAATAAAATACAGAATGATTTTATGAACTGAGGCCAGATTTTCACAGCTAAAACTAACTTTTACTCTCTTATTTTCTTAGGAACCTACAGCCAATAAGTCATTAGAGAAGACAGAGGAACCTGAGAAACAAAAAGATGAGATTGACTCGATGTCTAAGGATACCACTAGTCAACACAGGCAGCATCTTTTTGATCTTAACTGTAAAATTTGCATAGGTAGTTGGAAATTTTTCTTCATAAAATATTACTTTCATTTTGAAAGGGGGCTACTTGTGTTTGTATATGAGTATTTGTAATTTAAGTAGGTTTTTGTTTTCTTAGTATTGGATTGGTGGTTACTACTTATGAGTCGCAATGTGAAATTGGAAGAACAGTGTATACATCAGTACAAATATTGGTCTGTGTGTATCTCTTCAACCAAATCATGTACCTGATGTCTTCTTCCTGAATTCATTCCAGGCTCATGCCATTCACAGTAATAATAAGATAAAACATATGTTTTACTCATTTCTTCAAGTTACTTCTCATGACTATTGGAAATGGTGTCATTTAGTTAAAATATATTTGTTATGAAATCAAGAAACTGTTTTGGGTTCTAGTTATAAACTAGATAAACTTTTCAGTTTGAGATGCTTTTAATACCTCTTTTCATAATTTTTCACATCAGTAAGAGAGAAATTGTGTGCTATCACATTTTTATGGGTAGCGCCTAAGGCATGTGACTGCTATCCAGAAGGCTGGCAGTTCAAACCCACCAGCCACTCCGTGGAAGGAAGACTGGGCAGTCTACTTCCGTAGTGATACTGCCTCGGAAACCCAGGGAGGGGTTGCTATGAGTCGGATCCGACTGGACAGCACTGAGTTTGGTGTTTTAGTTTTGGGTGGTGCAGATGGTTAAGCACGTGACTACTTGCCAAACTGTTAGTGGTTTGAACACACCCAGAGGCACCTCAGAAGAGAGGCTTGGCAATCTGCTTCCTAAAGGTCATAGCCTTTAAAAACCTAAGGCGTGTTTCTGCTCTGTACGTATGGGATCTCCATGACTTGGAATCAATGTGATGGCAACTAACAACCACAACATTATTACATATTTACTTATGACTGTGTTTTAAATTTAAGTGAGAATATTTGTAAAATGATTTGAAATGAGAAATGAAGTATATTACAAGTAGAACTCTGCACAGTGTGTCATAAATTACATTTCAGATAAGCGTGAGTCCTTGGATATTAAAGAGGACTGGGGATGGTGAGGACACTAGTAAATTCATTGTTGATTCTTAAACACAGGTGTGATAAAACTCATGAGTAATGTTGATAGTAATAAAAAAATGTATGATTATTCAAAAATTGAATCAAGGAACCTGAGTAGTTTTAAAAAGTAAAAATTATATTAAATTATAGAAATTGGAGTTTGCAGAAATGTATTATCTTGATGTCTTCTGGTGTTAGGTCGAATGGCACCACCTGTAGATGATCTTTCTCCAAAAAAAGTGAAAGTTGTTGTTGGAGTATCTCGTAAACATTCAGACAACGAAGCAGAAAGTATAGCAGATGCACTGTCTTCAACCTCAAATATTTTGACTTCTGAATTCTTTGAAGACGAGAAGCAAGAATCTCCAAAGTCATCGTTCTCTCCTGCCCCACGGTAATTTTCTCTTAGTGATAATTTCTATAATAGTAGTCAGTAGATCTTTGCCATATATTAGGAGGTTTTCAAAAACAGGCAAGTGACATACATATCTCTTAGGAACCTTCTTTTGCAGAAGTAAACATGTTTCCCATACGCTACATGAATTTGGAGGAAAAAACAAGACTCTTAAAGTTAATTTAGACATTTGAATATATAGAAATAAGACTTTAAAACTCTTTTTAGTTATGTTGGTCCCAAGAGGCAGGAAATAGATTATTAAAGAGAAATTGCTTGTACTTCTGTGGACCATATTCCACCTAAACCAAGCAGAATGAGTTTGTATAATATGTCTAGGTAAATGTGAGTATAATTTTGTAAAGTGAAAGCGTAATCCCTTTAATTAATAATCTTTATATATTTTGGCCTTCTTGATGTGCTAAAATAGATGTAACTGATGACTATAGAAAATGGATTAATGAATATATCTTCAGGCTGCTAATTTTTTAATGTCATTTTCTAGTCCTGAGATGCCTGGAACAGTTGAGGTTGAATCTACTTTCCTGGCTCGTTTGAACTTCATCTGGAAAGGTTTTATCAACATGCCTTCTGTGGCAAAATTTGTTACTAAAGCTTACCCGGTGTCAGGCTCCCCTGAATATTTGACAGAGGTACTGTAAATTTCTACCCTCTTATGCCTGGGTTGGCAGGTGTGTTTCTGAAAGCAGCAGGCAGGGAAGCAACATAAAGTTCACAGTACAAATATTTATGAGCACTGATTCTTAAATAGCTTAATTAATGTAATTATGAATTCAAAAATAGGTTTTTTAGAATTGTGAACAACTGTATTTATTTATGAAAAACTTTATCCACATATTTTCCAGTATGTAGCTCACTATACTAGAGAATTAAAAATTAGGAGACCCTGAGACTATCACCCTAAGATACCCTTTGAACTTGTAGCTGAAGCTACTTTCAGAGGTTCAAACAATAGACTGGCTTACAGGATAAACAATATCACCTATCAGTACTGTACTCCCTTAAATAATCAACTATATGAGACCAAATGGTCACCTTTTACCCTAAAGATGATAAGTAGGGGAAGGAAGCTAGATTAATGGAAATAGAAAAACAGGAATGGAAATAATGAAAATGTTGGTGTATTATGAGAAATGTAACCACTGTCAGAGAACAATTTGTATACAAATTAAATGGAAACCTAATTTGCTGTGTAAATTCCACCTAAAGCACAATAAAATACAATCTTAAAAATTAGTAAGAGTCGGTATAGATAGATGTTTGTTCTTTAAATATAGACTTACATGAGAGACTGACGACCTAGTTATGTTCTTCAGTGGTAGCCATCGTGAATATTTTTCATTGTTAAACAGGTCTTCTAATTCCCTCACTTTTTATGTTTCCCTAGATTCATGGCTATAATACCTCCTATTTCTATGAACTCTATCTAGTGTAAACTAAAGTTGAAGGTGTATATCTAATTAATAGCCCATGAGACCAGTGATCATTGTTTCTGAAGTGATACCCTTGGTTGGTTTTATACCTTACAGAATGAGAAGGAACTATTATGTAGTGTTTGTGGAAAATAAGCAACAGTAATATAATACTACTATGATAAATGAAAAAATTTTTTGAAGAAAATCTATGATTTTTGTATATGTAGAATGAAAATAAGTCAGTGCATAAACCAAAAAACCAAACTCACTGCTGTCGAGTCTGATCTGACTCCTACTGACCCCTCCTTGAGTTTCCGAGGCGGTAATTCTACTGAAGTAGATTGTCCAACTTTCCTTCTGAGGAGTGGCTGGTGGGCTTGAACCTCTAGTCTTCTGGTTAGCAGTCAGATGCCTTAGGCACTACCACCAAAAGCTCCCAAATCAGTGCATATATACCATATATATGTTAAAAGTTTATTTTGCTGTTTGTTCTGTTCATTTGTAACATTCACTTTTTTCATTCATTTTTAGTGCAGTGACCATAAATGTAGAATTTTTTTTAAAGAGCCTTTACAGTATTTTGCTTCCCTATTACCTTTTTTTTTTTTTTTTTAAATTGTGGTATGGGTGAAAGTTTACAGAGTATATTGGTTTTCCATTAAACAATTTACATGCATTTTGTTTTGTGACATTCATTGCTATCACTACAACATAACAGCACTCTTTGCACCTCCTCCCTGCGTTTACTGTTTCCCTTCAACCTTCTTTCCTATCTCACCTGCTTTCTGAGCTTTATTCCTGGGTAAATAATACATTTTTTATCTCATATGTTTGATTGTTCTAAGGAGGACATACCTCCCTGGAATTACTGTTCACCTTATAAGCCTGTCTGTTGTTTGGCTGAAAGTTGCCTATTTTTTAAAGCTAACATAAAGTATACATTATTGATTTTATGTGTACTTACCTGTTTAAAGAAAGATTGCACTTTCTTATAAAGTGAATTTTACATTTTAACAATGTACTCTTTTCTGTGCAAAAATATACTCTCTAATTCTATAACCTCTGAAATCTAGTTATTAATAATTAAGGAATACCCTTGCCACTATGAACAAAAATTGAAAAAAGAGAAAAAAAATGGACAAGGGAAAAACAGTCTCCCTTAATACTCTAAAATATACCCTTTCTGGATTACGAATGTGAGCTTACGACTGCTTGCTTCCATTTTCTGTGCCTGTCTGTTCTGCTGAGACCTGGCATGACTTCGTACTCTTCCTTACTAGTTATATTTTGGGCATCTACTTCAGTCATTTGGAGTTGGCATTTGAGGTAAAACCTAATGGTTATCATGGTACTATATTATTATCTCTAATCTATTTCATGATATTTTTATGTACTTGTTTTAATTATTGTTTCAAATTAGTTTTAGAGCTAAATTTATATGAATTATGAATATTATAATCTATTCTGTATACATGATCACCTTTATTTTTTTTACCATAGGACCTACCAGATAGTATCCAAGTAGGTGGCAGGATATCACCTCAGACAGTTTGGGATTATGTGGAAAAAATAAAAGCATCAGGAACCAAGGTAAGGAGAACTTGATTTCACTATACTAACACAGGCAAGTGTTTGTAAGTAAACCACTCAGAGTTCTTGTAGAAGGCCTCCTGCAGAAGGGGACCTTATTGTTAATAGATTATTTTATAATCTATTAGAATAGATTGAATCTATTGATCAGAACTGGTATAGATTCTAAAGCTATATGTTATGTCTCACAAAACTGAAATAAAAATTATTTATTAAGGCTCAAAACAACCCAGTATTCCTTTTTTTTTTTTTCCTAATATGCTTTTTTCATGGCTTCTGTCAGTGTTTTAGAAGAAATCCTTCTAAGTAAGTATTGAAATTCATTCTGGAATTTTTACCTTACTTATAGAAAGTGTTTTTGGTAGGGCACAGTCTTAGCTCTAGCAAAATGATAAAAATAAACCCACTATCACAGAGACTCTAAAATATAGTGACTCAAAGAATACAGAAGTCTGTTTTTCTCTTGTGTTAGTTAGACTAGTCATTCAGGGTAGTTAGTTGGTTCTGGTTCTACAAAATCATCCAGAGACAACAGGCTCCTTGTTTTTATTCTGCTTTTCTCAAGAATGTTGCCCATATCAGTTAACCATTGTCAGAGCTGTGATTCGTCAGCATTAAGTAGGAAAGAATAAGGAATCATGTCCAGTTGTTTAAGGGCAAGGCATTGAAATTGTATTCATCATTTTCTTCCTGTTACTTCCATTGACAGAAACTTAGTCATATACCCTTACCTAGCTTGCTAGAGAGATTAGGAAATATGATGACTATTGGATGCCCATGTGCCCAGGTACAAATAGGAGGAAAGGAGGAGAATCGATCAATACTGGAAGACAGAAGCATCTATAACAGTCATTCTTTATTTTTTTTTTTTTTCTTCATTGAACAGAATGTACACAGGGAAATTAAATCATTAGAAAAAATAATTTTCTCCCCCAAAGGTGATTATACCTAACATATTACAGTCATGTGCCTCATACTGTCATACACTCAGACATCCCAACAGCATATACATCTGTGGTCCCAACCTCTGTAAAGCTTACATTATATTAAAAATACAGTGGTTTGTTATAACAGGTGCTGCTTTGTGATGCACATCAAAACATTATTGTTATTATTACTGTATTGTTTTAAACAGGTGTTAGTGTATCTGAAAGTGTTTCTTTAATGTATTTATGCATGGAAGGTACACTATGTACTATATGCTAAAAGAAACATTTGACTGACATGAGATATGAACCATAGCTGACTGTTCTGACTTAAATCCAAATTCAATTTAAAGACTCCTTTAAATTGAATTTAAACTCCTTTATAATCTGAGGATTTCCTTTATATAATACGGTATTTCACAACAGTCAAATCATAAAACGCCCTATTTCACAGACCATACCGTGGATGTTAAGCGACACTGTGCAGGCATTCAATAAATAAATCTTGAATTAGTGAGCATTAATTTTCTGCCTCTCTTCTTTAAGATACGATTAGGGGCCTCTAATTTGTCTTTGAAGCTCTGGTAGCATAGTGCCTAAGGCACTTGACTGCTACCCAGAAGGCTGGTGGTTCAAACCCACCAGCCACTTCCCGGAAGGAAGATGGGGCAATCTACTTCCGTAGTGATACTGCCTCGGAAACCCAAGAAGGGGTCGCTGTGAGTCGCGTCCGACTCGACGGCACATAATAACAACAACAATTTTTCTTTAGGAACCTTGGTGGCACAGCATGTAAGAGCTTGGGTACTAACTGAAAGGTTGATGGTTTGAATCTACCAGTTGCTCTGTGAGAAAAAGATACAGCTGTCTGTTTCCATAGAGATTATACTCTTTAGGGTCATTCTGTCTGCCTATAGAGTTGCTTCAAGTCAGAATCCTTTCACTGGCACACAGCAGTGGTTTTCTTGGGAACAATCCAAAGTAGATGATCTTAAGCTGAAGTGAGTTTGTTTTTCCCCCAGTGTAGATTTTAGATTTTAAATTAGTACAGTGATAGAGTACAAATAGACTTTAAAGCACTGTAAAAAAAAATTACTTTTATCTGCTACCACTTTTTGTGGCTGTGAAAATAGGAGATAGGACTCTTGGACATTTTGAAAATCATTCTGGAGTATGTCCATATATTGGTGCCCAAGACTTTGTAGTATGCTTTCATCTTGAACTGAGTAGAACCTGTAATAGTCTTACCTAATATATATATATGGTGTATTTTTTTCATCTAAAAGAGGGCAGTTTAGATGACAGACCTTTTATAAAAGGCAGAGCCACCATTCAACTCATTCATATGTTTTCTTTAGGATCCTGCATGAATTTTAAATAAATATAGTGCTCTTCAGTGTATACCTTCATGCAAAAGAATTTGTTTTTTACACTGTGAAATCAGTACCTAGTTAGGAATATCTTTTCTATTTGGAACAAAGCTAAGAATCTAGAAGCAAGCAAAAAATTGCCTTAGTAAACCAAATAATTTTACAAAACTTATTACCTATGTGTATTAGAGGTCATCACTTTGTCATGTAACTTAACATATTTATGGCCAAGGATTAGGATATTGACATCTTTGAGGGGCTACTCTACCATCCACAGCTCTTGACTGACAAACACTTAGTTGTGGGCGAACTGAAACCTCTTACATTTTTGGAGTTAAAAAACATCTAAGGCCATAGTAGGTGTTGAAAATTAAGTTTGGAGAAGAAAAGGGAGTGACAAGCTACTTGGGCATTAATAGGTATGTTAACAGAAAACTGGTTCATTTGTAATAGCTGAATTTATAAAATTTATAAATTACACTTAAATGTGTTAGAGCTTGCTACTGAACCAGATATTTTAAATGAATAGTATACTTAATATTGGATATACCAATTGCACTATCCTTACCTCCTCAATCCCTCTTAAAACAGTAGTCCGATTATTATGCGTAAGGCACTTGACTGCTAACCAGAAGGCTGGCGGTTCAAACCCACCACACATTCCTTGGAAGTATGCTTGGGCAATCTACTTCTGTAGTGATACTACCTCAGAAACCCAAGGAGGGGTCGCTGTGGGTCGGGGCTGATTCCACAGCACATAACAATGATGACTGTAAACTGTTTGAGTTTACAGATGGAAAACAGTTACTGGGGAGACCTCACCATGTGTACTTCAAGGCAGTGAATCCAGTATAACTCCAAGTACCTCTTGAATAGTTCTCTGTGAAATAATTCAGCATGCCAAGAGTGTCACCTTAAAATACTCCTTGTTTTAAAAGGATACTTTTTTCTAAAGTAATTTTTTTCTTAAGTACATTTTTTAAAAACAGGCCCTGGGTGTCTCCCCCCGCCCCCCACCTCCCAATTACCGAAGAGCAATCCCGGTAAGCTAGATAGTCATCAATAGATTTTTGTGTTTGTGTGTATGTGTTAGTGCCTGTGGCGATCACGTTGGAAATCAGGTCATAGTGTAGATGTCAAAACCCTTGGGTCTCATTGAACAAATCACCTTGGGCCTCAGTTTCTTATGGGCAGACTTCATATAAATGAAATCCATCAAAGGATCAGCAGAACTCTTTCCCTGAGGGTTGTTTTCTTTCAGAATTCTTATCTGTATTTAACTTGGTAAACTATAATATTTGGTAATCATCATTATAACACTTGATAGATATTACTTTAGGCTATTTTTTTAACAATGATTTGTTATTTTTCTTGAATAGGAAATTTGTGTGGTTCGCTTCACACCAGTAACTGAAGAAGACCAGATTTCTTATACTTTGCTGTTCGCATACTTCAGTAGCAGAAAGCGCTATGGAGTAGCAGCCAACAACATGAAGCAGGTCAAGGATTTGTACCTTATTCCGCTAAGCGCCACAGATAAAATTCCCCATCCACTGGTGCCTTTTGATGGACCTGGTAGGTATACATTTTAATGATAGTATGTGATTTAAATAAAGTGGGAGGTGGGATTCAAATAAAAAAAAACTTATTCTGCTTTGTTTTTTGGATCTAGACCTCTAGATGGCTTGGCAGGGACAAGTACCCATTTGAGATAACCTGCAAAATCATACCCTTATTGTAATGATCAACAATGACTATTGATTGATGTTTTTGATTTTGTACAGGGCTTGAACTCCATAGACCTAATCTGCTGTTGGGCTTGATTATTCGTCAAAAACTGAAGCGACAGCATAGTGCTACTGCTAGCACTAGTCATACAGCTGAGGCTCCTGAAAGTGTACAAGTGGCACTGCCACCTGATAAAAAAAGTAAAATAGAAGTGTGTACAGAGGAAGCACCAGAGGAAGAAAATGACTTTTTTAATTCTTTTACAACTGTATTACACAAGCAGAGAAATAAGCCTCAACAGACTCTTCAAGAAGACCTTGCAACAGCAATTGAACCTGTAGTGGAAGTCACCAAACAAGAGCCACCAAAACCTTTAAGATTTCTTCCTGGGGTATTGATTGGCTGGGAAAATCAACCCTCTACTCTGGAATTAGCAAATAAACCTCTTCCTGTGGATGATATACTTCAAAGCCTCTTGGGCTCTACTGGTCAAGTATACGAACCGGCTCAGCCAGTGGCAGAACAAAATACTGTTAAAGAAATTCCGTTTATAGATGAGCAAACCAGCCCCGAAGCAGAGAAATTAGATAAATTAGAAGTAACTGATGGTGAAGCGAAGGAGGTAAAGGTTAAAGTAGATAATCAGTCAGAAGCTACAGGGAGTCCAGTAGTAGTAGAAGAAGAAACGTCGGTGCAGGGGTCCTCTTCCTCAGTACTGGCTTCCTCTTCCATCTCTCCAGGACCCTTAACGAATCTTAGTCTCAGAGGTAAACCACCAGATATTTCTACAGAAGCATTCTTAACAAATTTATCAAACCAATCAAAACAAGAGGAAACTGTAGAGAGTAAAGAGAAGACATTAAAAAAGCAGTTGCTGCAAGAGCAAGAGAATAATTCACAAGATAACCGAACTTCAAATACTGGTTCTCCAGGCAGGTCTAATGTAGGGAAAGGAAACATAGATGGTAATTTGGGCTGCGGTGACAACCTTGTTGCTAACACAACAAGGTCTCCACAGTTTATCAACTTGAAAAGGGATCCCAGGCAAGCAGCAGGACGAAGTCAGTCAGTAAGTACATCAGAAAGTAAAGATGGAGAAAGTTGCCGAAATGGGGATAAAAACACCCTGCTTGGCCTGTCACACAATAAGGAGCACTTACCAGAGCAAGCTAATGCAGATGAAAAGTTGTCTTCTGTAGAGAAAAACTCATGTGTTCAGCAGAGTGATCATTCAACTGTTCCACAAAACTCAGCTTCAGTAGAAAATATACACACTTCTCAAACAGAACAAACAAAACCTTTACAGGAGGATATTTTAATGCAAAATATTGAAACTGTGCACCTATTACGAAGAGGATCAGCCGCACCCACATCTCATTTTGAAATTGGAAACACGTGTCAATCAGAGTTTCCTTCTAAAAGTATCAGCTTTACCTCTAGGAGCACCAGCCCCAGAACAAATGCAAACTTCTCACCCATGAGGCCACAGCAGCCCAGCCTTCAGCATCTCAAGTCCAGCCCCCCTGCATTTCCATTCCCAGGACCTCCTAATTTCCCCCCACAGAACATGTTTGGGTTTCCACCACATTTACCACCCCCATTACTTCCCCCTCCAGGCTTTGGCTTTCCTCAAAATCCCATGGTTCCCTGGCCACCTGTTGTTCATCTGGCAGGCCAGCCACAGCGTATGTTGGGCCCCCTTTCACAAGCTTCAAGGTATATAGGCCCACAAAATTTTTACCATGTTAAAGACATTCGGAGACCAGAAAGACGTCATAGTGACCCTTGGGGTAGGCAAGACCAACAGCAGCTGGATAGGGCATTTAATAGAGGCAAGGGGGACCGCCAGAGATTTTACAGTGATTCACACCATTTGAAAAGAGAACGACATGAAAAAGAATGGGAACAAGAATCTGAAAGGCATAGACGCAGAGACAGAACTCAAGACAAGGACAGAGACAGAAAAAACAGGGAGGAAGGGCACAAAGAGAGGGCACGGTTATCACATGGTGATCGATTATCACATGGTGATCGAGGAGCAGATGGAAAAACAAGCAGAGAGAGTAGGAATGTAGACAAGAAACCAGATAAACCTAAAAGTGAAGACCATGAAAAGGACAAAGAACGAGAGAAAAGTAAACATAGAGAAGGTGAAAAGGACAGGGATAGGTACCACAAAGATAGGGACCACACTGACAGAGCTAAAAGCAAAAGGTAAAATTTGCAGGCTGTTTCAAGATTACGTTTAAATAACGATTAAATGTTCTATCTTAAAAACTTGGTCAGGTTGGCCTGCTAGGGTTGTGCCATCTTTTAAATTTTTAATATTGGTGGTTTGCAGAACAGTAAGTTCATGTGCTGGTGCAGAGCCGTCTGTGCCACTGCGCATCGTCCCTTGGTACCAACTGTCTCTAGTTGTAGGAATTTAATATTTTTAAAAGTTTTACATTGCTGTATATTCAAAGATTTGTTTAATTAATATGCAATAAAGGCTTAGAAATTTTAGTTTTATTCTGTAATTGATAAATATGGTTAACTATGGAATATGTTTACTGCCTCTAGTGAATGTCCTTTATATAATAACTAATTTGAGAATAGTGTGTGCTCCGTAACTTTGTTTTAAATTGCACTGTTTTTTTTTACAAAAAAAAATTCTATAACTGCAAAAGCCAAGGGACTTCATAATCAGATTATACTAATAATTTAGTTGAGCAGTTTTGACCCAAGAATCAAAAGTCCAAGGAGTACATTTATTGCTTTAATCTGCACTCATTGAAGGCGTTTTATTACCATATACTACAGCTTTGTAGTAGGCCATTATTTTCCTCTCCATTTTTGGCTCTTCAGAAACTTGAATACTTAAGCTTGTACATGATCTTGTGTTTTGCTATCCTTTTTACTGTAAAATGTAAATATTTTAAGGGATATTTTGATTCTAAATATGATAAAAGACTTTCTCACCTATTTTGTGCGTGTGATTTAAAATTCAAGTAGTAAAAGAATTTCTTCTTTAAAGCTTTAGTTTCTTCAGACATTGTTTCTAACTCAACCAAGAATTTATGAGCATAGCTATCTGTTCAGGCACTAGATCAGGAGAAAAGCATTTTTAAAAAAATCTTAGCTTATGGGCCATTGAATTATGAAGAGGACTAACAAACACCTGTGCCACTGTGGCCTACTCTTTAGATATATTTCTGAAAAGTTGTACATCTTCAAATTTTGGTACACTGACTCATTAATCATTGTAAGAACACAACTTTTATTTATGAGAAATGTGTTGTGAATCTTTTTGTAAAATGTGTAATTAACCCTAATTTTTTTTAGGGTAACTGTACAGTTTCATATGCAAGCTTTATTTGAAATACAAAGCATATGAATGCTATTACTAATCCAAATCTAAATTGATTTACACCTTTAAAAAGTACATGTGTATTGACTACTAATATTTAAAACTATAGCTATCGAATGATTCTGACAGTTGAGACAGTAAAACAGAGAAACAGAAAAACCAGTATTTTTACTTAACAGTACTAATGAAGAAAATATAAATGATTTCACAAAATTAAGATTTTGTTTTCGTAAGGGGTCTAAAGAGTCAAGAACTACTGCAACTGAATTAGCCTTGCTTTTCTCACTGGAGGGAAAAAGAGAAGGAATTTAAAACCAAATGTTTTGTCTAATTTGCAACAACTTGCAACACTTTCGTTTTTCTTTTTAATCCCTATCACATTAATCATAAAAGTTCTGAAACACAGGACTTTTATTTAAATAAAATTTGTTTAACTTTGGTCTACTTGTCTGTCAGATCCTAGCTTCTTAGCTTAAAAGTCAGTTAATCCTCAGACAAACAAAACCTAGTATCAGTCATCTTTTGCATTGTTAGGAAGAAATTGTCATGGTTTTACAAGAGAACGTTAGTGTTTTTACTTCAAATACATATGTTGTCAGTAAGTCTGCTTTCATTGATTTTTCTACTTGGGAGATTGATCAGGAGCCAGATTTCTTTTGCAAGGCCCAAGTAAAGAAGAATGAAAGAGATCTTAATGTCTGTTTCTGACTGCCTGTTAGGTAATAAACAAAAAATGCAATGCACTGTTCTTCATATTTCATTGGATCTTGATATACCCTTTTAAAATAAGCAAGGCAGATAGATGTGGACCGTTATTAGAGATGACCATCGTCTGGGGTTGCAGAGCTACTAAATGTTAGAACCCCAGAAGTACTGTATGTAGAGGGTACAAAAAAAATGGGCATATTGACTGAGGTTTTCCTTGTGAGGAAAGAGAAAGAAAATGGTAAAAGTTTTCAGGGAGTAGATCCAGAGCCATTCTCAGTCTTTAAATTCCACTTTAAACTACCCTTAGACAACATGAATTGAATGAAGTTTATCTTTCAGTTCCTCTTGTTTTTAGGAAAACTTACTTAAAAACAGTGATGTCTTTTAAAATTTAGAACTGTTTTAAGATTCAGCTTATACATACCTCTATTGAGTATGATATAGGAAAGTGACTCCATACAGAGTCTATCCTTTATAATCCTTGTGAAGCTGATAAAAAGCCTTCATGAACCCTTTGTATGGCCAGTCTTTGTCTTAGTGCTTTACATCAATCTTTCTTAGCCCTGAAAGGGGAAGACTTAGGAAAGTAGAAAAACGTGCCTAAAATTTGACTTCTATTGATAGAGCTGTGGTGGCGTAGTGCCTAAGACAGTTGACTGCTAACCAGAAGGCTAGCGGTTCAAAGCCACCAGCTGCTCCTCGTAAGGAAAATTGGGCAATCTCCTTCTGTAGAGATACCGTCTTGGAAACACATGGATGGGTCGCTATGAGTTAAATCCATTTGGTGGCAATGAGGGTTTTTTTTTTTTTTTTGGTATTGATAGAGTTGGAATCCTGTCTATTTTTTTCTCTAATGCCCATGTTCTGAGAATTGAGAAGAGAGGAAAAGTGCTTATCACATGGACTCTTGACAGCTCTCGTTCCCCCTTATCACTGACCTGTCCAAAAACAATGCTAAGCAACAACTCGCCCCAAAAAATGAGCAAGAAGACAATTTATATTAACCACATATCTTACTGTGCTGCTGCTGTGATAAATTGTTGTTATGTGCTGTCAAGTCGGACCCGACTCATAGGAGCTCCTCCTTGGGTTTCCGAGGCGGTATCACTACGGAAGTAGATTGCCCCATCTTCCTTCCGCTGTGACAAATTACCACAAGCATAATGACTTAATACACATTATTTAACAGTTTTGTAAATCAGAAGCCTGAAACTGATTTCACTGGTCTGAAATGAAGATGTCAGTAAGGTGCATTCCTTTCTAGAAGAGAATCCATTACCAGGTTCGAGAGGCCACCTTTCCTCCATCTTCAAAGCCAACAACAGAGCCAAGCCTTTGTCAGGTTGCTCTTTCTGATTCTCCCACTTTTAAGGACCCTTGTGATTACAAGCCCTTCCCCCACATAATCTCCCCATTTTAAGGTCAGCTGATTATTAGCAACCTTCATTCTATCTGCAACCTTAATTCACTTTGTCATGTAACTTAACATATTTATGGCCAACGATTAGGATATTGACATCTTTGAGGGGCTACTCTACCATCCACAGCTCTTGACTGACAAACACTTAGTTGTGGGCGAACTGAAACCTCTTACATTTTTGGAGTTAAAAAACATCTAAGGCCATAGTAGGTGTTGAAAATTAAGTTTGGAGAAGAAAAGGGAGTGACAAGCTACTTGGGCATTAATAGGTGTGTTAACAGAAAACTGGTTCATTTGTAATAGCTGAATTTATAAAATTTATAAATTACACTTAAATGTGTTAGAGCTTGCTACTGAACCAGATATTTTAAAATGAATAGTATACTTAATATTGGATATACCGATTGCACTATCCTTACCTCCTCAATCCCTCTTAAAACAGTAGTCCGATTATTATGCGTAAGGCACTTGACTGCTAACCAGAAGGCTGGCGGTTCAAACCCACCACACATTCCTTGGAAGTATGCTTGGGCAATCTACTTCTGTAGTGATACTACCTCAGAAACCCAAGGAGGGGTCGCTGTGGGTCAGGGCTGATTCCACAGCACGTAACAATGATGAATGTAAACTGTGTCAGTTTACAGATGGAGAACAGTTACTGGGGAGACCTCACCATGTGTACTTCAAGGCAGTGAATCCAGTATAACTCCAAGTACCTCTTGAATAGTTCTCTGTGAAATAATTCAGCATGCCAAGAGTGTCACCTTAAAATACTCCTTGTTTTAAAAGGATACTTTTTTCTAAAGTAATTTTTTTCTTAAGTACATTTTTTAAAAACAGCCCCTGGGTGGCACAAACAGTTAATGTGCTTGACAGCTAACTGAAAGTTTGGCAATTCAACCCACCCAGGGTCATGTCAGAAGAAAGGCCTGAAAGATCACAACCTTGAAAACCCTGTGTAATGTGGTTCTCTGCAGCACATGGGGGTCACATGAGTGGGGGTTAATGGCAGCTGATGTGGGTTTTGTTCTTTAAAAGGTATTTTTTTTATTGTGATTTGGGTGAAGATTTACAGAGCAAATTCACTTTCCATATAGCAGTTCACATACACTTTGTCTCATGACATTGACCACAGTTTACCACAATGCAATAGCTCCCCTCCCCCTTCCTCCCCATAGTTACCTCTTCCCAGTGTCCATCCCTCCATGGGCCCCTGCTCCCTGAGCTGTCTCCCTGTGCATAAGCAGCCCTTCTGTCTCCCATGATTGTTTTCTCCAAGGAGTGTATCTACTTGGGGTAAATGTTCGACTCCTATCCCTGTCTTTTGCTTGGCTGGAAACCACGGGTGTGGGTTCAATTCCAGACCTGAAGGGCAGCTAGGGCCCATAGTCTCATTGCTTCCACCAGGCTCTATCAGACCAGCAAACCTGGTCCCCACCTTAAAAGGGATTTTTAAGAGTCAAATATTGCCATCTCCTGGTATTATTTCACCCTTATGCTGAAAAAAATTCTCATTTACATTCAACACTTTTCAGAATCGTAACTTTTGTATTTTTTTTTTTAACTTTTTGTGATTTGAGTGAAATTTTACAAAGCAAATTAGTTTTAGATTCAACTGTTCAGACCCATTTTGTTTTCATGACATTGATTACGATTCCTGCAGTGTAACAGCTCTCTTCCCACTTCCTCCTTTCCCTTTGTCCTTGCCTATGCGTGCCTGCCTCCCTAGCAAATGCTGACC